ACACATTCTGACTAAAGGCCAGATTTTAAGAAAAAGAGCATATCAGTCTATTAAAAATCAATTAAATACACAAAAAGGGGGAGTATGGTTGCCTCCCACAAATAAAATTAGACCTTGGTAGTTTAAAACAATGTTTTAAAACCTGCTAACAAAAAGTAAACATATTCTATCAGAACTTCATGGACAAAAAGACATCTAAACAAACAAAAAGTAGGATGGGTCAGTATAGTTAATAATGTGTTTGTACATTAACAGGTCATTAGATGTCATTGTGGATGCCATCCTGGAATATGTGGCCATAGAGAGAGAGGGAGGAAATGTCCAAACCCATGGTGAAGTCTGCTGTCACCAGACCCATCTTGGGTTCTATAGTGATTGACTATATTAACACCCTTGTGTCTTTTATTTCTGTTGCTAGTCTGCTGTAGCAGGTACTAAATCTGACAATGCCTATGCCTATCCAACCTCAAGTCATAAGGTTTCAACTGTTGCAACTACAAAAAAAAAAAAAAAAAAAAAAAAAAAAAGGAAGAAGTGCTGGGGATTAGGCTATACAGGGTTAGGTTGCTGAACACAAGGGTGTCTGGCTGTGTTGCTGAACAGATATGCACACTGCTCAGAAGTCAAGGTAACACCATAGCTGAGGGGGCTAAAGACACGGGCTGCTGACACCCCCTATTCTGGAGCAACAAAGCTGTCAACCTTAGAGAGCCAAAGTCCTCTTAATTGGCAAAATTTATTGCTTGGAAGTCTCTGAACTGACTCCCAAGATGCTGCTCAGTTCCTGCCTTGCCTCAGTATCTCCTTCCTCTGTTGGAAAAGCAAATAAATATGGGCTGTCCAGTGGAGCTCTTTGTCCTTCCTCCTGAGAGAGTGAGCTCTGACCTTCCTGGATGCTCCAGAATTGATACTAGTGGTCTCTTTCATTTCAGCCATTTGCCATCTCAGTCAGTTTCTCCTCACTGGGACAGAACTCTGTACACCTGCGACTTAGATGAGAGGTTTATTCTGGCTCATGGCTACTGTCCGTGGTTGGCTGCCTTCCAGGCTGAAACAGCAGGCAAGGGGCTGGCGGAGGTCAGCAGCTCTTTGTATGGCAGCCAGGAAGCAGGGGAAGAAAGGAGGGACCAGGGAGGGGCATGTTCCCTTCCAGCTCACAGCTGCAGGGCCCACCTCTAAGCAGGCCCCGGCTCCCAACAGCACACCAGCAACTGAGCTCATTAGCAGAGGGGTTCTCTGACAAGCACAGCTTGTCTGTCATCCAGCCCCCTTCCTGAAATCCTGGCTCTGAGTGTGTACCCTACCAGGAAGTGACTGAGATGGTCACTACTTTGCACAGTGTCCTGAGGAAGCTTGTCTGAGGAGGTGGTATTTACGCAGATACTCACTAGACTAAAGGGAGAGACCACACTGGAGCACATGGGAAGGACACAGGGCCTCAGGTAGGTCAGCCCAATGCTTTCCACACAGAGCTGGGAGGCAGGAGGGAAAGGAGAGGGGGCAAAGTTACGCAGGGCTTCACTGCACATCCAGTGGCTTCAGCTTTTATTGTGGGTAGCTCTGAGCAATCTAAGGTATTTTTTAAAAGGACCTCTGTGGCTATGGTCTGGAAGGAAAACAGGACAGGAGGGCATGCACACAAGCTGTCAGCTCCAGAGGTGGTTAATGCCACCAGGGATCCAGATGGACACTGCCGGGGCCACATGATGACAAGGCAGTCTGAGGTACTACGAGGGACAAGAGTCAGGACTTAACTCCTGACTGGAGCCCTGTGTCCCATTAAAATGTTTTTATCCCTTAAATTAACTACTGGCCATATTTCTTTTTTCTTTCTTTCTTTCTTTCTTTCTTTCTTTCTTTCTTTCTTTCTTTCTTTCTTTCTTTCTGTTTTTGTATTTTAGTATAGGGCCTACAGGGTCTCACTACACAGATCAGACTCAGTGATTCTCCTGTTTTCAGCCTCCCAAGCACTGGGATTACAGGCGCACACCACCATGCCCAGCTTCAATCGCCATCTCAGCACGCCCTAGGGGCAGGGCCAGCACAGCACGCGGGGGATCGAACCCTAGTTGCTGTGCCTGCCTAAGCAGGCGCTTTAGTCTACTGGGCTGTCTGGCCGGCCCTCTGCCATATTTCTTCTCCTCTTCATCTTTCAGGTATCTCACAAAGACTCTGTAGAGCCACGCAGGTGCTGACCTCCGTGTCCCTCTACACAGATCAGTGTGTGTTAAAGGGGACAGAGTGGGCGCCTGGCAAATGCTGGCTGAATGAATCAAGCTGCACATGCTCTTGCCTGTGACCTGAGCCCCAGGAGTCACAGGCTCAGATGCTGGCTAACACTTTCTGCCTGTGGGCGTAATGTGGGCAGACACGGATGATGAGAAGGATACCTGCTTGGTGGAGGATGGAGTGGACAGTGTTCCGAAATGCACTTGACATGTGATTTGCTCCACACGGACTTAATACATTAAAATTTGTACCACATGGACTTATTACATAAAAACAAAGACTACACTAGAAGTTCCCAGTTCTCACCATCATCGGAAAAACATCTTCCAGAGTACTTTGAAAGTCCTCCTTGAGTCAGGGAAAACTGCACTTTCCCAGAGCAAGTTGTGAGTGAAACAAAATAACTGTCCATTATTTCAGAAAACACTAAGAGACTTGCTTATTCCTAGGGAGGTGGTATGTCTGCCCCCATCTTTGGGGCTGGCTGAGAGGCCACGGCACCCCACATTCCATGCTCACATCCAGCAGCAGCTGCAGATCGCTGGCTCAGAACAAACTTGTTTTCCTCCTAACGATACCCGCCTAGGATCTAAAATGTACTGCTCTCCCGGGCCCTCCCCAGGCCTTTCTGTTTTGACAGATCAGGGGCCAGCCCAGCGCCACTCCTGAGCCCTCCACGGGGGCATCTGGGAGGTGCTTCTGCACCGTAGTGGGTCTGGCAATACGGGGCCTTCTAACCTGTATACCATCGAAGACCCCAGAGAGCGGGATGAAGAATGCACATCTGTTCTATTCCTGTGTCTACTTCCTTTCCAACCAAAGGCCAGCTGCCCTGCTGCTGGCTGCCGAGTGCTACTAATAGATACACACAAACCTGGGGGAAACTGAGTCCTGCTGGGGGGATACAGCGGGCTCAGCCCCTGGTGTACAGGCACAGAGGAAGAGTTAAGAGAAACTCAGCACACTTTTTGTGGTGGCACAGAGTAGGCGGCACGCTGCAGCACACCCCAGGCATCCGCAGGCACCCCTCCCTGTACCCACCTGCTGCCAACACCACGGATGAGGCCCCTCAGCCTACAGTCTCATCACTGGGTTCATGGACTGAGCAAGGGTGTTGGTCTGTCCCAGGCGTGAGCGCTCAGACTTTCCGCTTTATAAGCATATAATAGCCCAGGAGCCCTGCACATCCAGGCCCTTCCTGGGGTAGCAGCCGGCAGGACTGTGACCCACAAGCCAGCAAGCAATTCCAAGCACACTCACAGCGAAGGCACCCCAGGGAAGCAAATCAGGTACTTCGTTTTGAATGCCACCCCCTGTGACTGCACCTCAAGAGGTAGGAGGAAAATTGCAAGATGCCACTTGCAGTCTATAAATTCGTACACAGCACATGCTTCTGAGTAGGATTCAATTTTCTGGGCAGATGGACTTAAACATACACAATCATACAACTTGTTCTGATTGTGTCTAGATGTCGCCCCAAAGCCTCATGCAGTCATGGGGTGGCTTCTAGAGTGTGTGACTGATTCATGGTCCAATGCTGGGACTACAGGTGGGAGTGCTACACTGCCCTGGGGCGGGTAACCTGGATACAGTGCAAGGAGGGAGAGGGGTTTGCTGTCAGCTGCTCCTCCCTTTGTGCTCTTGTTTTTTCTGCCTTCTGTTACCTTAAACTGCTGCCCCTGCGCCAGGACATCCTGCCTTGGAGCCAGCTGATTACGGACTGAAACCTCCATAAATGGTGAACTAAATAAACCTTTCCTTCCTTAATTTTGGGTGTTGGGTATTTTGTCTCAGCATTGAGAGAAAAGTAACGAAGACACAGCTCCTGGCTGTGTAGCTTTTGGAAGTTCGCTCTAAGCTTGTGAGTTGCCCTGACTTGAGACTCAGGGGAGAAGCCACAGATTTCCTTTCTGAAGGCTGGTGGGAGAGAAGCACAGTGATGTGTCTATAAAGGAGTCTCAGTGTGGCTTTTTTACTTCCTGAGACCAGGTCTCACAGAGTTGCCTGGCCTGGCCTTCGAGCTCACAGTCTTCTTGCCTCAGCCTCCTCAGGAGCTGGGACAAGGTGGCATATCATGAATATGAAGGTAGACTCTGTATCTAGGGCAGTAGAAGCCCAGCCTTAGTGGGTCTACCCTGCTTTGGAAGATGTTGGCATGTTCCCAAATACCAGCCTGCAGTATCTGTAGAGTGAGGCCACCAGACCCCTACTTCTCACCATAGTCTCTGAAACTCCCAGATTAGAAAAATCACCTTAGGCTCCATTTGCATTTTTGCATACATTGCTTTTCATGACTGCTGTACTTCCTAAATGTATCCCCTTCTGTTCATTTTACCACTCATCTTGTGATTGGTACAGTGATTCATTCTTAAACTCCTTAAAGGCAAGATATCCCTTTGAGGCCCAAAGTCACAAGTACTCTCCACTGGAAAGGTAAATACACCTTTCATTCTACAGATATTGTTTTGGGGTTCAAGGGGCCTCTGACCCACAACCACAGATCCCAGATTAGGAACCTCTATGCTAGTGTTTTGCACTTCAACAGTGTCTCCCCACGTTTGTCATCTACCTCAAGGATGACCTGGCAGATTGTCATCCCAGTCTTTCCAGGGGTAACTGAGGCTCAGAGCAGTGACCCACCTTGTGTGACTCAGGAAGTAAAGTGGGAGGCTTTACCCTGCGACACGTGACTGGCAGTGGCCACACAGAGAAGGTCTAGAGTGTCTGAGACACCGCGTGGAGCACAGCCTCAGCCGGGAGGGCGGCCTTACCCAAGGTGGATGGTCCGGATGTGTTTCTGGATACCTGCTGCAGTGCTCAGCACCTTGCCACAGTTCTTCCAGAGGCATTTGAACATCACCTTCATGGAGTTCTAGGACCAGGAGAGAAAGTGATGTTAAGATGAAAACGAGCCATTCAGTACGTGTCTTCTGCTACTCTACCTTGTTTTCCTTCATTAGAAAATCAGCAGCTCCTCCATGCTTGTGACTGCAACTCAGCCCACCATTCTTAGAACTTCCTGGGCTAGAGGTGCACACTGGTGACCTCACATATGTTCCCTAATTTTTTTTATGAGCATTGAACTCTGCTGGAGTTTTACAGGTCATCTCCATGAAGGTGGTCACAGTAGCTAATATTCACCAAGCACTTAAGTGTTTATCTCATTTAATTCTAAAAGGGGGATGCTTTTATTAATCTCCATCCTACAGATGTTTAGAAAGCACTGGGGCCACGGAGATAACTCAGTAGAATGAGCGCTTGCTTGGCAAGTGCAAGGTCCTGAGTTCAATTTCCGGTATCGCAAAAAAGGAAAAGAAAAAAAAAAAGCACCAGTAAAAAAGCATACAGGCAATGATGAGCTGGGTACTGGCAAAGGTAGAGGACACTCCTAGAGCCGCCCTTCCCACCAGTGCCCAAGGCTGTGTTTTTCAATGAGGGTCTCTCAGTGTCTTTCAAAGACAGATAAGTGCAGCATTTGCGAGTACTATGTCAGACTTCTCTCCCAAGTCCACAGTATTCTTATCTATAAAGAGCAATAACAGTACCTGCCTTGGGCGTGTACGAGGACCATGAGGTCACAAGCAAATCAGGCAGCAGGCACCAACAGGAATAGTCTTTTGACTAGTAGTAGCCACTGTGGTGCTATGATGGTTGTGCTTCCTGGGATGAGTCTAATGGGATGAGCTGTATCCAGGGAGCTTATTGGTCACTGGGGTGCCAGCTCTTTGCAGACATGTACCAGTTTCTTTTCTTCCCTGAACACAATCAGATCCCACTCACCAGCTACCCTCACCACCAAGAAGGGTTATGTGACTGAGCAAGGACCGATGAAACAGGGCTGAAGGGACACACAGTCCTTTGAGGTCTCATCCCAAACTACCTTCCAAATGCTACCCCAACCCAACCTGTTGGTGCAATGTCAAGGACACTAGGGGCTGCAGAAGCACTAGTTCAAATCTTCATCTTTTGTTTGCCATCAACTAATCTGGCAGTCTAGTGAAATCTATGGACCTCTTATCAGGGTAGTTTGGGTTTTTTTAATGTTTAAAATAAAATATAAAGGCTGGGTGTGGTGGTGCACGCCTGTAATCCCATCACTTGGGAGGCTGAGGCAGGAGTATTACTTCAAATTTGAAGCCAGCTTGGACTACAAAGTGAGTTGAAGGCCAACTTGAACTGCATAATGGAAACCTGTCTTAAAAAAACAAAAAAATAAAATAGAATTAAAAGTATATTGAGGGGTTACAAGGAAAGCCAGTATTTTGGCCCTAGCCCTTCAAGGTCAGTGAGGACTCCAGACATAAGAGAAGCTGTTCTGTGACATCCTGTAACTCTGTGGTGTCCTAAATTTTCTGATCGAGATTATGGGGCCACAGAGGAAAGTGATCGACGATGTGTAGTGTGCCTAAGGAGAGTCACATGGAAAGAAAACATTCTCTCAGGCTTTCACAGAGAGCAAGCTTGTCAAGCAATGGCCGTGACTCATCCAGATGGCTGACACTGACAAAAGATCTACAAGGTGCTGTACATGGTTCCATGGTAAATCCTGAGGGGATCCGACTGACCTAGTCAGATACAAAAGTTGTATTTTTAGTTATATAGGTCTAGCTTTAACTTGGTCTTAACCATCCAGCAGAAAGGTATAACCACAAGGTATAAAAAGTAAAGCCATATTAATATGCTGAGCTATAAAAGGATCGGGTCAAGGACTTCTGACAATTGCCAGTTCTGCTGATAACACACTATTATTTCAGGCTATTGGACTATGTCGGGTTATTTTGCTGAATTCAAGTACCTACAATATTTGAACTGGCATCAAGTATGAAAAGGTCCTTTACAGACTTCTCCTAATACAGCTTCTCCAGCAGCAATGGAGCACTCATCTCTGACAAAACCAAACCAAAAAGGGGATATAAATAAAGGACCATTTACAATTGACTTTATATTACTACTTGTCTTTTACACACACACACACACACACACACACACACACACACACACAAAATATGTATAACTTGACATAAGATTGATACTGTTTCGTAGAAATCTTCCATGGCCTTTTAAATGGGTTCATCTAATATATTTTACATAGTCCTGCATAACTATCATTTTGAGAGCTCTTTATTCTTTTTTTTGTGGTTTCTTTATTTTTATTTTATTTTATTTTTTTCCATAATTTTATTGAGAAATAAATAGCAATGAGACAGTTTCAAATCAAATTGGTAGGACAGTTCCAATAATTAACACATTGCATACTGCCTTCCTAGTGGTTATTTGTTGTATAAGATGCAGACATGATATTTTATTTACAAACACTATTAGAACAAATCCCTCTATTCCTTGAATTAAGAGAATGTAGCTATATATCTATCCTAACCATTTTGAATACACAGATGCAAAATGATCATTCATCTATATCCCCTTTTTTTGTTTAGTTCCATCATTTAAATATCATAGGTATATGAACTCAGCAAAATATTCCAAAATAGTCCAGTAGTCCATAATAGTAATGGGTCTTCCACTTGACTGGCAATGTCAGAAGTTGTTGACTTGAGTCCCCTACAGCTCAACATAACAGCATGGCTTTATTTCTTGTACTTCATTTTTATACTTTTCTGCTGGATGGTTAAGACCAAGATAAAGCAAGACCTATGTAACAAGTAGTGAACTCTTTATTCTTTATCCAGGACTCTATAGAATTTCTCTTGCTTTCTGAATTATGCTCTTTGTTATTTCCTATATGCTACGTCTGGAGGTATTATAATATTTTGAGTTTGTATAACTGGAAAATATTTTACTTTTAGTTTTCAAAGGTATGTTTGCCAAGTATAAAATTCAAAGAGGACAGACCATTTTTTTCCTTTCAGTCCTTTAAATTAATTAGTCTAGTTTCTCACACACTTAGTCTTTTTTTCCCCTTTTTTTCTAATGTACAATAAGATGCTATTTAATTTTGTTCTCCCATAGCTAATATTTTTAATGTATATGCTTTAATGATTTTTTTCTTTACAACAAATTTTGGACAATTTCATATTTGTGTATCTTGGTATGATTTTATTCAAATTTCTTGTGCAAAAGATTCATTATTCTTGGAAATGTGGTGTTATAAGTTCAACTAAATTCAGAAATTTTAAATCTTTAAATATTTATTGCCTACCACTTTCTACTTTGAGAATCCTAATTATATGAATATAAGTTTCTTGATTTTGGCACAGAGTGAACTATTATACAACTAATCTGTCAATTCATTCTTCATTTTTGTTTTGGACAATTTTTATTGTTACATTTAAGGAAATGAAATTCTGGTGGGAACAGGGCATTGTGTATAGCAGGTGCTTCGAGTTGAGACCGAAGGGCTGGACAAGAAACCAGCCGTGCTAAGAGCTAGCTTGCTAAGCCTGGAAGACAGGCAAGAGTGTGGCACACAGGGGAAGAGGCAGGAAGACAGACACTTAGAGGGACTCATCTGTGTGAGATGAGGCAAGGCCACACTATGCAGCGCCTTGTAGGACAAGGTAAACAATTTGGATCTTATTCTAAAAGCAAACTTAATGGGACTGGAATTGTGGTGGACACCTATAATCCTAGCATTCTGGGAGGCTGAGGCAAGATGACCACAAGTTCAAGCCCACCTGGGCCTGAAATTTAATAGCTTAATACGAACGTGTCTCAAGGGGAAAAAAACAAGACTAGAAATGTAGCTCAGTGCCAAGGCCCTGGCTTCAACCATAGCACTCCACCTTCCGTGAAGCAGAAAAGGTACTACAGAAGCAGAGTGACATTTAAAATTCAAGTTTAAAAAATATTAGTCATTTCTGGGGGAGACAGCAAGTTTTGTTGCCATTGTGGATGCTATTGCAGGTCACAGTGCGGGATGGCTCAGAATATCTGGGCCACAAGTAGGCGGTGCACACACAAAGACAGTGTGCAGGCAGGGCCCGCAGTCTCTGCTGCTAGGCTGAACACGAACATCAAGGGGATACACTAAAGATGACTTCTAGGCTTTATGCTGGAACACATGGGTGAATTATGACTGTTTGCAGAATATTAATTTTGAGGTTCCTATCACATATGGAAAGGAGGTGGCAAGCAGGAGGCTGGACATGTGAGCCTGGGCCTCAGGAATGTCCGGGTAGGAGAGCTGTTCTGGAGGGCGCATCTGGGCCCCATTGAGGGAAATGCAGTGGAGATGAGCAGCGTCCAGGACACTGCGACACCCAGTGTTTCAGGCTGGAGCCCGAGACGCACAAGGAACAGGGCAGCAGCTAGGACGCGTGGGTGGAAGACAGTGAAGGATGATGAGATTCATGAAGGAAGATGAGATTCACAGTGCTGACCTCCGTGGGAGGGAGTGTCCCCGGGATTCGGCAAATGGAGGCTACTGATCAACAGTCCACGAACAGCAGGATTAGTAGTGAGGCAGGAACGGATATCAGGCCTGAGCAGTAAGTGAGATTTTAAGGTCAGAGAGAGTAGACATTTGCAAGAAGTTTTGCTGGCCTCTGAGCAGCCAAGAGAAAGCTCATGGGTGTGGGCTGACTGCAAGGTGAGGCCTGCCCAAGATGCTGTGAGCACCTACAGCAGGCGCAGGGCTGCCTCAGATGGGAGGGACAGTGCCAAGCGGTCAAAGCAGGGAAACCCGATGGCGGATGTGCATGCAGTCAGTGTGCCAGCTTGTACAGGGGAAAAAAAAAGAAAAAGGCATTCTCTGTTTCCAGGGTCTCAGTGAGGGAAGAAACAAGGAGATGGCGGAGGGCAGGGAGGGAGGCTGTGTATGACACTGAGGAGACTAGAGGGAGATGAAAGTCACCTAATGAGGGTGGGAAAGGAATGGGCAAGACATATATTCCCATATTCATGGTGAGAAAGAAG